TTTATATGACAAATGTTGCCGTTTCATTTTCCATTAGTTATCACCACCTACTATTAGATTGAAACTAAATCTAAATAAATAGTCTCACTTAATCTCAATGTATCAGAGAAATTTAGATATTTCATGATGCCCTGAATTAAAAATTAGAACAATGTACTCGGCTTCCAGCTCTTCTTAACTTTCAAGTGTCTATTTATCCAAAAGCTACTCACTTTTCCACGGGTCGATTTGTCTACCCTAATTACTGATTTTCAATTCTCGATATTGTTTAATTTATTTCCATTTTGACTGTAGAATACAGTACACGACTTCCATTATGATCTACAACGGTTATGGCTATAATGGCAGCAAAGGTGGCTATTCAGAGTGGGTAGCATATGCGTTGTTTAATGAACAGTCATTCAAGCTTTTCTGACGTGGTGTGTGACGATGAGAATATACATTTCCGAGTTTATTTTATGTTGCGCATCTTGTACCGAGGACATAAAGTTTTTCAGTAAATATTACTGAAAGGAACATTTGGAAAATTAAATCAAACCGTGGTCTATTGTTTTTAATACCGAAGAAACGTTCAGAGGCAGCGATGCAATTCTAGTGTTTGAGAAACCTGCGCTTTGTTATGACAAGTGATGATATCTACGAAATGGTAAAATGGACGTTATTCGGACAGCCAGGTGAGGATTACCGTAAAAATCATTCATGTAGTTTTGCCAAATTAAAATTGAGGGCTATGATTTTGTCATCGGTAACACGGAGTTACCGTGAAGCTTGTTCGAAGTNCTGCCTGATTCAGGATTTCTAGCCCATTCTGTTTATCTGTGGTAGATAGGCAATTGCACTGCTTCCTCACAAAAGCTATTCAGCTATCAGGAAGCTGTCATGTATGCATTAGACTGGGTGAAACACTATTGGCGGATTGCGACATTGCATGTTGGTTGGTCAGTGGTCAACTGGGATCTAGTGAGCAAGTATCGGGAATTTCGCTATACTACTGGGGTGTGGGGGAAGGGATGAGATTGTAAGGTGAGAACCTATACTGCTATAAATGCTGTTGGTTTGGGTTTGCTAAAACGTAATCAGATCTGATGAATGATGTCCAGTTGTTTGGTATTCTATTAGTTTCACCATAAAAGTCTCTACTGAAAGTTGGCCACGCTTTGAGAACCGATGACTCAACGGAGCTTCCGCTAGGAGGTTCGGGAACTCAGTAAACTGTGTAGTAATTATGCTTAAACATTTTATCTCTTCCGAATATCGCATCCAATAGATCGAGAGAGGTACCATAATCTTAATTAGTAACAAATGTATATTGAGTAATTAACTGCTAAATGTGTTGCAACCGCACAAGATTTAACTTGATACTGGATACTCGAAGAATCGTCTCCCAGTAACATTTCTCGTAGAGATAGGAACTCAACACAGGTAGTGAAACGGAACCCAGCTCGAAGCATGTAGGAATTTATTTATTATGCAAAAGTCATAATTATTTATAAGGAAGAGCGACGACATGAGAATGCATATATCCAACAATTGGTTGACTGGATTATTGTCAGCCGTTTGGATTGGTTGACGGTTCCCACCAATCACGTGGGTATGCCTATCCTAGTTCTGATTGGATGTCTCCGAACGAAGCTGTCTTCAGGGAGATTGCTGGTACCCCAACACCTTTCTTTTTGGTCCCACGGTGTTTGGTATATGTTTGAAGTATGGCACCTATTTGGAACCGCTCTGGAGTCTCACTCATTATCAACGAGTGTCTGTGTTGTTATGTAAGCTCTTTGAACGCTCTTTTAGTGACTCAATG